GGGTCCAGAGGAGGGTCACAAAAACGATCAGGGGGATGGAATACCTTTCCTATGAAGAAAGGCTGAGAGCGTTGGGGTTGTTCAGCCTAGAGAAGAGAAGGCTTCGGGGAGACCTTCTTGCAGCCTGTCAGTACTTCAAGGAGGCTTCTAAAAAAGATGGCAGCAAACTTTTTGGCAGGGCCTGTTGCGACAGGACAAGGGGGAATGGCTTTAAACTAAAAGAAGGTAGATTGAGACTAGCTATAAGGAAGAAATTTATGATGAGGGCGGTGAGACACTGGCATAGGTTGCCCGGAGAGGTGGTGGATGCCCCATCCCTGGAAACCTTCAAGGTGAGGTTGGACGGGGCTCTGAGCAACCTGATCTAGTTGAAGATGTCCCTGTCCACAGTAGGGGGGTTGGACTAGATGACCTTTAGAGGTCCCTTCCAACCCAAACTATTCTATGATTCTATGATTCTATGAATATACCAGGGAGTAATTCAGATGTTTGTCAAGCGCTGAAATGGAAATAGCAGTGGACTTCCATTTGAACAGAAGATGAATGTGCATTTCCAAGCTCCCTTACTGCTGACTGCTGCGTTAGTGCAATTTATTTGAACTAGACTTTGAAGCAGTGGGGATGTGCTTTTAAACAGTATCACCTTAATACTACCTTCACCTTGGTCTTACAAAGCTTAGTTTTGGAAATCTTATGCTAAGAATCCAGCTCCACCGTAACAAGTAGTCAGATCTGGTTTTGTCCTCCAACCTCATTTCAGGAAGTAATTTGGGGCTTTTCGTGCCTGCTCCCACTCACAGCAGGACATTCTTGCCCTCCTTTGAAAAGCAGAAAATCAGAGGAAAGCAGCATTTTGGTGATAAGCATATACTTGCAGGAACACTGCTGTAAAAGTTGCAACAAAGGCTTTAAGAAGCCAGTGCAGTGCCATAGCAATTAGTTTCACAGCGCCTATCGAATTATAATTCTGGCAGCACTGAGGGCAAGAGAGCTTGTCACACAGGGCCAGCACCTCTGCCCACCTCTCTGAACACTTTTTTGCCGGTGCAGTTTGACTGGTTACAGAAAGGGACCTTGATATCGCCAAAGCCACTCCCTTAGAAAGCTAAGACAAATATTTACAGGTGTGTTGCATTAGTCGCCTACATCCGTCCTTCTGTCCGTCTAAGCATTTGCTTTTAGTACTGTCATCGATCAAGAACAGGACACTAAAGCTTGGGAGCCAGGGAGAGGAGAGATGGCACTGCCTGCCAGAGGGGCGAGGGGATGGGCAGCGGGAAGGCAACCGTGGCTGTGCAGGAGGAGATGTGGTGTACGCTATAACCAGTGTGGATGCAGAAATGGCAACACGAGAAGGACAGCTGCCGCAGCACTGCTTCCTGGGAGATCTTCAATGCCCTAGCCCTTCTCCCCAACACCCAGTCCCCTCCAGCAGCCTGATGGGGCCGGGGAGGGCTGCCCACCTTGTTCCTGATGCCCAGCGGGGCAGGTAATAGTGCAAAGAGCTGAAGAAGAGGTGGAAGCAGCAGCTGCGGCAGGGAAGGAGAAGTTTGTAAGGGCACTGGGGATTGCCCGCAATGCCACAGCATCTCCCTATAAACTCTGGGCTGCTGGCATCCCTTCCCTTTTTGGGCTGCCTTAGCATAATTCTGCAACTGGCTGCTTCTTTGCAGCTGCGTCCTAGGGAGAAGTCTGAGCAAACAACAGTGGAAACAAAAAAGCAAATGCAAAGCAAACGGGAAGAAGCAGTGCGAGTGCTCAGCATCTCACGCCGCCGGGAAAGAGAAGGGAGCAAGAGGAGAGGAATTGAGAAGAGCATGATACTGTCACAGGGAGTTGAGACACTTCTGGAAAAAATATGTTGCCCGGCACGGAGCAGGCAGGGGCTCAATGAAGGAGTACGTTAGAAGGTTTCTACTTCTGAGGAGTTTTTTGAGTTTAGCAACATTGTCAGGCTCAGGATTTTAAACCACATGTATCAGATCCTTGAGTAGTAGGAAACCAGCTTGAAAACCATGAAACCATTCTTTGTTTGGTTTTTGGTTTGTTTGGTTTTTTTTTTTAATAAATGGTAGGTTCTTTCAATTTGTCTTCTGGTTTCTGAGCCTTTAGGGCCTATTTAATTTTCATTTTCATGTCTTCTTGCATAATGATTCAAGCCTTTTAAAATGATCTTTTTAAATAAAAGCTCTGATTTTCTCAGAATCAAATAATTCCAAGTAGTGGCAAAATGCCAAATATTGTAACAGTAGTGACAAATTAGCAAGCTAAATTTAATAAGAATTTTCTGATGAAGACCAAGTAATTAACAGAGTGATTACATCAATCATTTTTATATGCTGTTGACCAGGATGCTATTGTATGTGCTGTATATGTGCTCTAAGTGTGGTCTGGTAATGTTGCAGATACAGCAGTATGCTATCAAGAAAATTGACTGTATTAATGTATGCATAGATCCCTGGTATTCTGAAATTTGGGAGTTAATCATATGCTGAAGAACAGATACACTGATCTAGTGAACTTCTCGTACGTCCTTTTTTTTAATTCATTTATTACAGCTTGAGACTCCCCATAAGAAGGTATCAGGCAGGAGTTGGAGTGTTTATATAGGGAATGGTTGTGTGAACTCAGTCTGCATGTCTTACAGACCTCTGGGAAATATCATCTAATAAGCAAGCAACCATTCTTGAATGGTTTGGGGTTTTTTTTTCATTTTTCAGATGAAACATTTGGGGTTTTTTTCAAAGCAAAGCAAACCCCTTTGTTCAACTACAGGAGAAGTCTCTGCCCTGGTGCAATTATCTGAGGATGCTGAAGAAGTCAATCAATTCCAGAATTATGTGGTGTCTTACAGGCAACCATGGGCACAGCCCATTGATTTAGGGGGGAATCAGGGCGCTAGAAAAGAAGTGGGGGACAAATGCAGTGTGACATGATATCCACTGACCCTAACTATCAGCTTTGAGCAGCTCATCAGTGGTGGAGTTACTGCCTCCCAGCAGACACATACTTCTGCCTTAACGCAGCTCTGGCCACAGCCCCAGATGATGTTGGCATCATTTTTACCGA